AGTTGCCATCAAATTTTCCCTCACTTAAAGGTTTTCCACTTCTGACATTGTTATGGGCTTCTTATGTAATGCTGAAGTGTATTTTGAAGACAGATGCATTAGGTTCCAATTTTGCTTTTAAGTAGTGCTCCCAATCTAATTAAATCATCATTCCCTGAGTTTGCACCCTGCAGATGAGCAATGCTGCTTTCCAGAGCACTCCATGTCCTGAGCACTGTGAGCCAAATTCGTGGCTGCCTAAGCACACAGAAAATACCTGCAAGCATTTAAGAGCCAGGTGGAAATACCCTGGGGAGAGTCAGCAGAGGAACTCAAAACAGAAACAAGTGTTTCTCTAAAGCATGAAATAAATGAGGAAAATATACCTGAACAAACTGGAAAATGAAAGCAGGATTGAAAGAGGAAAGTTTGGCATCACTACACACAGTTTTATACTAAACTAAACTGAGCTACAGGGGCAGCCACATTCATAACTCAGTTGTCCCCCATATCAAAGAGCTGGAGATGTTCTCCAGCTGCCTCTCCCCAGCACTGCATATCTTGTCAGCTGCTCCTGTGAGCCAGTTCATCCAAACTCCCTGTTTGGGTCATTTCTGATGGCATTCAGGATCCCCTCAGTAACAGGAACTTCGGAACAGGCTCCCCAGGGCAGTGGTGGAGTCACCACCCCCGAGGTGTTCAAAGAACAAGCAGACATGGTACTCTGTGATATGGTTTAGTGGGCATGGGATGGCAACTCTGGGGCTGTTCAATCAAAGGTTGCACTTGATGGCCTTGGAGGTCTTTTCTGCCCTCAATGATTCTGGGGTTCGATGACTGAAACACCAGAGAAACTCAGGGGGTTTGGACAGAGGGAGCTGACCTGGGCTGAACACAGGTTTTAGCAATTCCAGCCTTCAAAAACCACCAGAGAATTGCTCTGGCAAAGACTGGAGTCAGCAGGGAATTCCAGGACCTACATTTCAAGCCCCAGGCAGGAGTGCATCCAGCCAGGAGCCCTGGGAGCACCTGGACTGCTTGTGGCCTCCAGGATTCCTTTCCTTCAGGGAGCTCTGAGGGGCTGAACATCATGAGCTGCAAAAGCTGGTCTCTGTTCCCAGTTCTGGACATTACCTGTGCTATTATGACTATCAGCAGTCTTCCCTCATTTTTTAAAATTTCTGCACAGGATTCCTCTCCTTCCCTTTCCTTCTCCTTCTTCCCACACTTCCTGCTCCTGAGATCCCAGTCGTGGTTCTCTCCTCGTGGTGCCCCACTGACACAAGGACAGATGGTGGTTGGATGCACACCAGTTTCAGGCTCACAGTCTCTGTCCTGGCCTAGAAATTGCCTTTATTGTCCTCCTTACCTGCCTGGAAGTCCTTCCCAGGTACCTCCACCTGGTTTTTGACAGCTGAAGGAGCCTCCCTAATTCCGTTTGGCAGGACAGTGACTTCCCAGCAGCCTCCCAGCAACTCTTAATTCATTTATACTTTTGACCTCCACAACAGCCTCAGGCAATAAGTTCTGCAATTTAATAATCAGTTATATGACAATGTATGACTTTCTGATTTAGACCTGATGCCCTATAATTTTATGGGTTATCCTTAACTTCTCCTATTCTTAAAAAAAGTAGCCACCTCCTCTTACTGTTTCCTAACTCATGGTCTCTGTCCCATGGCTGACTGTTTTCTGTCCTGATTCAGAAACCATTCTGTCCTCATCTACTTTCTGTGGGTGGAATTCAGATTAAAAAGATCTGATTTAGTGTTGGAGTTTAGGTATCTACCTCATAGATTGACACCTACAGGTAGAAACCTAAATTTAGGTGTCTAAATCTCTGAGCTAAATAACTCCCACCCACCCTTTTTCGTTCTATTTTATTCTGTGTGAAGACAGGATGAACAGAACTGCAGATATTAATCAATAGGTGGGTTTGCCAAACATTTATACAGTGACATAATCACATAATGGTGTTTTCCTGTTCCTTTTTCCCTTTTCTAAAAATGTCTCTCATTCAGCTGGAATGTTTTATTGCCGTGGCCGTCGTACCAATGTTTTCGTGGAGTTTTCCTACAGCACCTCCATTTCTGGGTGATAACAACGTTCTGTTCAATCCATAATTGAGGGAATACAATATAGAATTGAATATGTATATTCCCAGACAAACTGCTTTGCATTTATTAGCGTTGACTTTCCCATCCACTCCTGACACGGTCCCTCACTGCCACGAGAACCATCTGCTTCTCTTCCCAGGGTCAGCCTGGGCTGTCTCAGCTCATTTCTTGTCATCCACAAACTTTATTACTGAAATATTCACCTCCCTTTCCAAATCCTAAATCAAAGAGTTGCATGACTAAGCTGCAGAGTTCCTTTCACCAGGAAAACCCATCTTTTCTCCCACTTTTTGTCCCATTTTGTCTCCATCTTATTTACTTACAAGAGGACATCTTATTATCCCAGCTTAACTACTTTAAGAGTCTTTGAGGAAAGACTTATTGACATTTGTTTGGGAGTCCATGAGCACTTTATCAACTAGATCAGCCTTACCTACAAGCTTGTTGACATCCTCAAAGAGTTCAAATAGATTTATGAGACACAGGCTCCTTCTGCAAGAACTGTAATGACTTTTTCCAAATAAATCACACTTATGAAATTGCCTACTGGTTCTCTTCTTTATTATTGTAGTTTTTACCCACTTATTCAGTTTGGAAGTGAGATTTACTGATCTCTGCTTTTCCACATTTGTCCTGGAGACCTTTTTCTCAAGGCTGAAGACACATTTGCCGCTTTCCATCCTTCTTGCAGTGTGGTCAACTTAAATGACACTTTTCATGCTACATTTAGCTTTCTCTTAATCTAGTGTTTGAGGTCTTTCAGAACTCTTGATTGAGTATCATCTTATCTTGGTGCTTTCTGACTGCTCATTTTATTGATTTGTTCCAGAATGTCCTCTGCTGGAACTTCATTTAGGGACAATTCCTCATGCTCTCCACGGCTTCACCACTAATGTACCCCTTTCCAGCCTTCCTCTATAATTTGTTCCCTATTATTACAGTTTCCTACCCTTCTGCCAAGTTTCTGAGGCATTTATTATGTCAATAATTTCCTTTGAAATCAGTCTAGTTCACCTCTTTTGGGCTTCAGAGTTACAGCCCTTGTATAGATATACTTTTACATTTTTTATTGATTTAATTGCCCATTTTTCAAGGGACCTGCTTAGCTGGGGCTTTAATTGCTGAGACCATTCTTTGCTATTTCCTTCCTGCATGCTATTGATTTCAGTTCCTTCCATTTTTCTACATTACATGAATTTCCTCATTTCTCTTGAAGAGCAGTTGGATCTGGAGCCATGTGCAGTTGTTTATTTGGTGAGTTTCCACAACTGTCAACTATAAAAATACCTCATTGCTTTTGAATGTTAAAGCCTAGTTTGCAATCCAGTCCATGTTGATTTATATAGCTTATCTCTCTTGTAAAAGCCACCTCACCAACGACTCAGAATCTGCTCGTCTGGTGCCGTGAAAATTTATAACAGTGATTCCACTTTCCAGTGTCTTTCCTATCCACTCCTCTCCTCAGTACCCACATCACTCACACCACCAGCTCCCTCTAGCACCAAGTGTGGACACAGAAGTCCAGCAGAGCCCTCAACAGCACTGCAGAAAATGAGATTTTCTCCCGTGTTTCATAATACATTCCATTAACACCTCCCAGTATGAGACTTTTGTGATTGCTCACTCATGTTTAATTTTTTATTTTCTCTAATTCCCATATCTGTTCCTGGCACGCTTCAGGCAGACAGTTGTACCTTTTTTTTATATATTTTGGTAGATGTTTCCTCTTTCAAAAGTGTGGCACAGAGCAGTTCTTTCTATTTACTTGTTGATTTCTGCATCACTTTCCCTGGTTTCTCAAGCTCATTAGAAATCTTATCTTGACCTTCAAAGTGCACCCCGGTTTCTCCAAAAATTTTTTGAGTTAAAACATACAGGTCATAAATTAAAAAATTGCATAGAACAGGGGACAGGACACACCCCAGCAGGGCTGCAGTAAAACAGCCTCCCAGTCCCAGGGCAGCGTTGCCACCCACGTGATCACCAACCATGGGAAGTTCAACAAGGGAAAAGTGCTGGATTCTGCTCCTGGGATGGGGCAACCCTGGATGTTTGTACAGACTGGGAACTAGAGGCTGGAAAGCAGTGCTGGGAAAGGGCCCTGGGGGTCCTGGTGGTGCCAGTTGTCCCTGAGTCAGCAGTGCCCTGGCAGCCAGGAGGGACATCCCTGTCCTGGGGCATCAGGGAGGGGATTGTCCCGCTCTGCTCTGCCCTGGGGCGGCCTCACCTCAACATTGGGGTAGTTTGGGGGGACACAATTAGAGAGTGTCCAAAGGAGGCAACAGAGATGGGGAAGGGCCTTGATTTGAACCCGTGGGAGGACACTGAGGGCACTTGGTGTGTTCAGCTGGACAAGAGGAGACTGAGGGGAGACCTCCCTGCAGTTCCAATGCCTGGGCAGGGGCAGGGGAGAGGCAGGGACTGAGCTCTGCTCTGGGGGGACCAGGGACAGCAGCCAGGGAATGGCTGGAGCTGTGTCAGGGCAGGCTCAGGTTGGATCTCAGCAAAAGGTTCTTCCCCCAGAGGCTGGTTGGGCACTGCCCAGGCTCCCCAGGGCAGTGGGCACAGCCCCAAGGCTGCCAGAGCTCCAATAGGGTTTGGATGATCCTCTGGGGCACAGGGGGTGACTCTTGGGGATGGGCCCGTGCAGGGCTGAGGGCTGGACTGGATGATCCTTGTGGGTCCCTTCCAACTCAGCATATTCCAGGATTCTGGTAAAATCACACACCTTCTAAATGATGGAGTGCAAGCTCTGAACTGCACAGGGCCATCCTGGACAAGGAATTTGGCTGTGGTTTCTCCCTCATTCCTGGATCCAGAGTCCAGCAGGGGGGCTGCTGCTGGACGGGCTATTTTGAGCACAGTGCAGAGCACTGTTGCTGGGAGCTCACTCAGTGCCTCTGATCATGGCACTGTGAATCTGCCCACACAACTGCAATAAATCTCCTTGCCCCAGGACACTCTGGCTTTTCTCTGCTTGCACAATGCAACCATCCATTAGAGGAAGGGCTGCAACAGATGGGCTCTCCCTTCTCCAGAAACAAGGTAAGTGTCTCACCCAGCCAGAAATACTGGGCGCACTGATACAGACCATATTTCTTTAGTCTGCTTCTGAGAGAATCATGTGGAACAGTTTCAAAAGCTTTCCTAAAGCAAAATATGTCCCATCTGCTGCCTCGTCTTCATCTACTAGACATTATTTTCTCAAAGAAGGAAATTACAGTAAGATCGCACGATTAATTCTCGGTAAATCTATGTCCTTTTTTTCCCCCTTTTATCTTCTATTTGCTTTAAATTGATCATATAATATTTTTTCAGACTTATTTCTGGGAAGAGTGGTCTCTCATTCCCTGGTTTCTCTTTTTTTTCAAGGGAGTTACACTGTGTTTGCCTCTCGACGCTGCTCAGTGATCTCACCTGCCTTCCACGAGGCAGGGCAGTCACTAATGCTCCAGTAATTGCTTCAGCTCCTGCCTGCACTGCCCACATGGCTCTCACAGCACATTCCCAGAGCTGTCTGAGGCCAGAGCTGCTAATCTGGAGAGACAAGGAGAGAACAAATATAAAGCACAAAACCAGTGTAAAAGGACATGAGGGATAAGACCCAGCTCAGAGTGTTTGCTCTGCTCTCACAATTGATGGTTTAGTACAGAATCATGGAATGGGTTGGGGTGGGAGGCAGCTTAAACATCATCTCTGCCATGGGCAGGGATAACTTCCACTACACCAGGTTGCTCCAAACCCTGTCTAACCCATCCCTGGAGCCATTCCAGGGACGGGGCAGCACATCAGGACACTGTATTAACACAGCAGGAAGGTGCCTTCCAGCCGAGGGAAATCAAGCTGCCAACTCCAGGAAGGCTCTACCTGAAAACACATTTTTCACTTGAGAATGTTTGCTCCCCTGTGCTGCTGGGGGTTTAAATACCAGGAGCACAGTGGCAGCTGCACACGTGATGACAGATTCGCTGACTTACAGGGAGACGACGCCGGGGCCTCTCACCAGGCACCCGGGAAGTGCTGGGGAGGAGCACGAGGTCCCACTGCATGTCACACATTTGCAAGGGAAATGCGAGTGAAGGATCCTGGAAGGCAAAGTCAGGCTGCTGGCTGGAAGATTTAGCCCCAGGGTGCTGTTGACAGTTCCTCTGAAATCCTTCCACTTGAACACGCAACTCCAATTAGGCACCGGGGAAGGAGCCGCTACCGGGGGTGATGGGCTCCATCAAAACTCCACAGTGAAATCAGGCTTTTCGCAAGGAAAACATGCATGATGAGTTTAATTAAGTGGGAGCTGGGGGAAATCTGTCATGAGTTAAGGGTAAACAGATTGCTAAGGGTTGGTACAACACAAACACTCTTTGTATCCATGTAGTTCAGAGAAAGAGCTTGGTACAGGGGTGGAAGAGCTCCCAGGTGAAATTTATTGTATCAAAATGGACTAAGAAGCTAAACAAAGCTGCCCCCCAAATTAAGAACTATAAATCTAAAAAATTGAGGTGTGGGGGGGGTTAAATTAAAGAAAAAAAAAACACACAAAACCAAACGAAGTAAAACACAGGTAATAAAAACAGCAGCAAATAGTAAATCCCAGTGACAAAACTAACAGTATACTACAGTATATGGCCATAAACTACAGAAAAGAGAGTATAAGTCATAAAAGGGAAAGGTTCTTTTTTTATGTCAGAGAGAATGTTTTAAGGAATCTAGTCAGGCTAAAATTCTTACTGGAAAAGACCATACACTGAAAGTGTCTGGCAGTAAGAATGTAAATATATGAGGCGAGTTATCCCATCAGTCACCAGAGAAAGAAGACTGAGTGCTTAATGCTGAGAGGTGAAATACTAAACATGGGCACCTCTATTATTCATAAAATAAATCGATATAATGGCACAAAGGGAAAAAAAAGGTTAGAGAACCAATTTATAGAAACAGAGGCTGGCTGCTCTGCAGAGCTCTCGGAGCCTGAGCAGCCACAGAGAGGCTGCTCTGCTTAATCTCATGCAAGGTACGAGAGGAGGGAGTTCAAGAAGAGGCAGTCAATGATCCAGCAGAGAATATGGAACACAAAACTCCATCTTGGAGTGCAATGGTTGTGACTCGAGAGGTCTCAGTGGGCACAGAGCTCCCCACAAATGCTCAGGGAAGGCGTGATGAGACGGGAGGAGTGCTCAGAAATAAGGAACCCACTCCCCCAGCACAGCAGCACTGAAAGCACCAGTGGATCTCATTCTGGTGTTCCCATTTAATGCTGTTGAAAGATTAGACTGAGGGCAGAAAAGAGCCATAAAAAGAATATGAGGAGAGAAGAACATGTAACTGGGAAACTTAAACAGCTCAATTGAGGGGCCACTCGATAAACACCTTCACAAGGGGGAAATATCAACCAACGCTTTTTAATCTCACAGAGACAGAAGAAAGACTAAGGGCTGAAAAATGAAAGTGATTCAAACCAGAAATGAAACACACATTTTTTAACAGCAGTGATGATTAAATTTGGGAACAAACTACCACCTGAAGTGATGGATTTTGCAACTCTTGACATCTGGAACATATGTTCCTGTGAAAAGTTCAAGTTTTGATAAATAAGAATTTTTTCTCCCCTGAAAAACAATTTTGTCAGAAAATTCCTAGCCACTATTCGGGTTTCTTGTGTACTTAAAAAAGATAAAAGATGAGACAGAAAAAGAGCTTTGTACATTGAAAGTTGGTCAAAATGATAATAGAAGCAGAATAATGGAATTCCTAGATAAGGAGTGTGATATGGTAGGAGTTAATTATCACAGTGTCTCTAATGGAAATTTTGCATCACTAGTATTTCAAAATTATTTGAACATATCTTTATAATAATGATCAAAAGGGAACTGCTTGACATAATCTACTTGAACACTCAAGAGCTTCCTCATAGCGTTTTTCAGGCAGGGCCTATTCCAGAAGAATCCTGCATGGATATTGTGGATGCCCTAGAAAGCCAAAGCACAGCCCAGTCCCCTGCCTGGTGTCCCAAACAGGTATTTCCCTGCAAGCTTGGGCTGTTCTGGGGAGGTGCTCAGTGGCATTATTCCAAGTCTAATTTCTGTAATTTCAATCAAGGCCCCAAGAACTCCTGCAGAAGTGCTTTTAATACACTACAGAAATGAAATATGACACAGAAGGCGCTGACAACTTGTAGAGCATCATTAAACATACCACAGCCATTAACAAATGTGCCAAGGCAGGCTGGTACATCTGTATGGAAGGCAGGCGGAGGAGCTGGGCTCCACATTGCTTTATTTTTTGACTAAAAAACACTTTAGAAGTCTCCAGCTTATCCTGAATCAATAGAATGTGAAGCATCACTGCAAAAAAAAAAAATCCTCTTGGGAATTTTTAGTGGACTGAGAATTGTGGCACTTCTCAGTAAATGTCAGGCTTATCAGAGTTGTGAGTAAGCATCAGTTAGCTCTCAAACAAGCTGACTCTGTTCATTTCTCTCAGAACTGTATGTAATATTCTCCTGGCAAGGAACAGCTCTTTTAGTAGACTGCAGCACAAATTTGTAAAAGAAGCTTGTCTCAGCTCTGATCCAAAAAGCAAAAGAGATCTCGATTAGATGCCTGTGGAAGGAGCTGTTTTTTGACTACAAAGCCCAGATCATTTGGAGTTAAAGGGATGCAAGAAATACAAACTTCTCCTTTTCAGATCATAACAGATGCAGCAATTGTAAGAAAACTTTCTTCCTAAGCCTGGTTTACCCACTTCAAATTACATCAGTAGCTTCAAGTATATTTTGACCCAGGAGTGGTTAACGACATCAATCTTTACAGCACATATTCATCCCTTTCTAAAGCCCCTCTCTTTATTTCTACCAAGCAGCTTTTCTCTTTATATTGCTGGATGAGACTCTGCAGCATCGTGGTGAGATCTTCATTAGCATTCAAATCAAAATGCATTGTTTGCTGATGGAGTGGGGAGAGGAGTTCAGCCTTCCCTGCTCGTGCTCACCGCTACCATCACAAGTGTTTACATCCACAGATGGGTTTCATTTTCTTTTGACAGAACATAACAAAGGCTGTGCTGGGTCAGAGTGGAGGTTCCTCTGTTCCAGCAGCTGGTTTGCAATCCAGATGCCCGGGGAAGGAGTTCAGGAACACACCAGGCTGGCACTGGTGCTTTCTTGGAATGTTACTCTGTTTTCCAACAATATGTGTCTTGGGACTTTTTGAGTCACAATGCTTGGTTTTACTGTTTAACAGGTTATGCTTTAACTCCTCTCCATTAACTTCTTCTGTTACCCCCGGAGCACAAGTAAACTTGGAGCATCCATAATATCCCATGGCAAAGGATTTTACAGCTCAATTACAAGTTTTGTCAAGAACCATCAACCACATTATACTGATTTCTAGTTGTTGCTTTGGAAGAGACACTAAAGGGGCTTCTCAGTTTGGAGAGAAGGCAGCAAGGGGGATGAGTGAGACTTACAAAATTATGGTGAGGCCATGGTGAGGTTGCACCTGATGTCCTGTGTCCAGTTCTGGGCCCTCATGGAAGAGAGACACTGAGGGGCTGGAGCGTGTCCAGGGAAGGGAACAGAGCTGGGGAAGGGGCTGGAGCAGCAGGAGCAGCTGAGGGAGCTGGGGGGGCTCAGCCTGGAGAAAAGGAGGCTCAGGGGGGACCTTCTGGCTCTGCAACCCCCTGACAGGAGGGGGGAGCTGGGGGGGGGGTCGGGCTCTGCTCCCAGGGAACAAGGGACAGGAGGAGAGGGAACGGCCTCCAGCTGTGCCAGGGGAGGGTCAGGTTGGACATCAGGAGGAATTTCTCCCTGGAAAGGGTGGTCAGGCCTTGGCAGGGGCTGCCCAGGGAGGTTTGGAGTCCCCATCCCTGGAGGTGTCCAAGGAAGGCCTGGCCGTGGCACTCAGTGCTCTGGGCTGGGGGACAAGGTGGGGATGGGGCACAGGGGGGACTCAGTGATCCTGGAGGGCTTTTCCAGCGTTAATTATTCTGTGATTCTGTGATTTTTATGGTCACAGCCTGGAAAGGTGAGCACTGCAGACACAGAGACCATG